ATTTATTACATCAGATGCACCATTCAACCACATTCAGGAATTTAATGACAAGACCTTTAGAGTTATATATAGATACATGCTCGAAAGAGCAATATACATTGATGCTTATTCTGACAATAGCCTTTTGCTGGATGGTAAGAAAAACACAACTCCTTTTCTTTTCTTCTTCGTTTTGGACATATCTGCCGCTGAGTGATCTTACAATTTGCGTGGAAAGGGGGTGTGATGGGTCGTTTATAATGCGTTTTATCTTTTCTATACTTGTGGTGTTATACATTTCATCAGTAATAGTAAAATCATATCCAGAGATCTTGCTGGCTTTCTTAACAATTCTCTCGAATTTTTCTGTATCTGTCACCTTACAACTCCCAGCCCAGCAGCAAATACAAAACAATAGCACGCTTTCAATCATGGAATGGTACATATAAAAGGTTGCAGCAGGGGCACATCTGGCACTTGATGAAGCAGATCACCCGATGTTGTTGATGATATTGAGTATGTTGTCCATGCAGCTCTTCAGGTAGTCCGAGCAGATCTTCTCCATGCCTGGCGCGGGATTGCACGGGAGGCAGGCGTGAGTGAAGGACACACACAGCAGCAGTGTCACACACAGGAACAGAACTTTCTCCGTGAGCTCCATCGTGGCTCAATTAAGTGTCGTCTGCTGGTGAAAGATGGGAGGGGCTTCTGTGAATAAATTATTGATGGTCAAGGTATGGGAGGGGTTTCTTTAACTAAATTATTGATGGTCAAGGTATGGGAGGGGTTTCTGTAAATGAATTATAGATGGTCAAGGTATGGGAGGGGTTTCTGTAAATAAATTATTGATGTTCAAGGTATGGGAGGGGTTCCAAAGGCCCAGGAAGTTGTCTCACTAACAAGGCAATCCCCAATGTCCGGATCGGATGCGCGAACAACTTTTGGAAGGACAAGGAATATCACAGACATCTCAGGTTGGGAATCAAACTCTATTCTCTCGTTTCCTACTTGCGTAGAACTGAGCAATGACAGCTGCAGCAGCGTAATAAGCTTCGGACTTCCGAAATTGAATCTCTTTTTAAAAGATAAGGCGAGGCTCAGATCTTAGAGAAATTTGTAGTGTTTTTCCTGGAAGCCTGCCAGTTTGTCACTGCCCCCCTCTCTCACTCTGGCATACACCCTCACTCACTCACCCTCTCTCTCTCATCGATGTGTATATTTGTTTGGTTATA